GTATTTTTCTGGGAAATGTTATGGGTGCAAAAGATGAACCACAAGGATGCTCCGTGGGTGAGCCGCAGCCTCAGCTTCGAGCACTGCTGCCACTCGGCCGCGGAAACCCCGCCAGAGGCAGGAGCGAGGCGCAGAGGAGGCTGGCGCTCCCGAGTCCCGATCGAGGGAGGGACCCGAGACGTGGTTCCTCAGTCGCCCTGAGTTACAAATCGCTCACAGCGAAAGAGGGCTGTTTTCTTTTTCCAAAGTGGCTCACCACCCCCGCCTTCCTTCCACCAGGACAAATAGAGCCCCCTCCCAGGGGGGAGGTTTTCAGACTCGGGCGAGAGGGTCCGGCGTGGAGCCCCTGTGGCTGATTCGGCGTCCCGGTCCCCTCGGCATGGAAGCCGGCGTCCCAACCGTCTGCACTTAATGCGCTGAGCTCGCCCGCGACCGAGTGGCGGGACCCCACACGGAGCAGCCTCCGCATGGGCCGCTCACAGCTGACAGGCACAGTGGCCCAACCCCTGCCCAGGGATCACTGCCTCGCTGGGCCCCCCGCCCTCAGCTAGTTCGTCCCGGAAACTCGGGAGCACTCGTGTTCGGGTTCCGGCCCCGCGGGGGCTGGAGAAACCGTCACTGCAGGGGCGGGGGAGTCAGGGCTCGGTCATGATTTCCCCTGCTTGGTTATCTCTAAAACACCGCTGTTCACCTGTAAAACGGAATGCACGCCCACTTTGGAGAAACCTGGAAGCCACAGAAGGATGCACGTGAAAACAAACATTTAAAAAAGAAAATAGCCCTGGCTGCTGTGGCCCAGTGGACTGAGCACTGGCCTGCAAACCAAAGAGTCATGGGTTCGATTCCCAGTCAGAGCACGTGCCCACATTGCGGGCCGGCTCCCCGGTGGGGGGGCGTGTGAGAGGTGACCACCCGTGGATGTTTCCCTCCCTCTCCTCCTCCTTCCCTTCTCCTCTCTCTAAACACAAAAAGTGAAATCTTTTAAAAAGAAGCAGAAAATAAACACTACCCATAACTTCAGCATCCGAACTCACCCGCGTGCCCTGTTACGACTTCTGGCTTCTGCGCACAGAAGCACAGACCTCACCAACACGGAGCTCACGCTCCACGGGCCGCGGCGCCGGGCCCCTTCATCAAGGCCTGTCACTCTCAACACAGTTACTAAAGGCCGCGTGTGCTGCGGCCGCGCGGAAACCGCGCCCCCGGAGCTGACCGGTGCCTTCTGGATATCGGCGCTGCTGGAAATCTTTGGCCGTCACCCCCGACCCCGAGACGGACGTGCCTTCTACGCAGACCTCGTTAATCACCCCTCCTTCTGCCATTGGGACACGCTCCTGAAGGTTAAACGGGCTAGGTCAAAGGCTGTATTGTGTATTGCGTTTTATACGTAATTACAGAGAAAAAATTTTTTTGGATTACAGATAAATTTTCATTATACTTAATAAAATTAATAAGTAAAATGTATTTGTGTTTATATATTTGGTTATTATAAACGTAACCATGGATACAATTTTAAGTGATAGATTATTTTAATTATAATTAATTAAAAGTAATTAATTTCATGTTTTAAAACATTGTTTCCAACTCCCGCCCCCCCACCCCTTCCCCTGTGGCCCCCGTCAGCCCACTGTATCCACGGGCCTGTTCGTGTTTTGTTTCATTTATTCACTTGTGTTTTAATTTCCACATCTGAGTGCATTCATACGATACTTGTCTCTTTTATAGATCATTTTAATTTTAAGCATAAATTAATAAATACCAAATTATAAATATTCCCAAGTTAGTTATTCTAACAAATTACAACACACTCCTTAACCGTGGTCGGCGCACGTTTACGTAACGGTCCGGGCGTTCGTGTGTCCGGGACACGCGGGGCAGCGCTGCTGGCGGGGAGCGGGGGCGGGGCGGCCTGGCGTCTGCACTTGGGGCCGCACTGCGCACGATCACCCCGAGACCCAAGGACCCTATGCGCCCAGCGCACGCCCCCGAGCCGCTCCTGAGCGTCTGACGGCCCTTGGAGCCCGGAGCGCGTGCGCGGGAGGCCCGGCGGCCGCCTGCAGATGAAAGCCACGCGCGCGCGGTGCAGCGGGTGGGCCTGGGCTTCCCAGAGCCGCGCCCCCTGGGACCTCAGAGGGGGACCCCATGGCGACAGACACCTTCGCAGGTGGAGTTCAACAGAGGGCGCAAGACGCGACCCGCCGGGACGGAGCGAGGCCCAAGTCCCGCCGCGAGGGTCCTGCCAGGAGACAGGAAAGAAGACCCGCCCGGCCCGCTGCTCAGGGGCCGCGGAGGAAGCCGCAGGCGGGGGCTGGGGCCGCGGCCGCGCCTTCTCAGGGCCCCGGAGGCGGATGTCCGAGGTGAAGGCGCCACCAGGGCCGCTGTCTGGTGAGGCCTCTCGCGGGCGCTCACGCGGCCGCCGTCTCACTGTGACCTCGCCCGGCCTCTCTTCCGTACACGTGTGGGGGGAGCTCTGGTGTCCTATTCGGGGGGGACCCCGCGTGACCTCGCCGACCCCTCCTTACCTCCCTAAGGCCTCCGCCCCAAACGCGGTCACCGGAGGTGTTCGGGCGGCGGCATGGGGATGTGGGGGTCGGGGAGGCACACAGTTCAGGTCACAACATACAGGGGCCCAGGGAAGCCATGCGGCGATGGAGGCCAGGCCCCGGGGGCGCAGCCGCAAGCCAAGGGACACGGAGCCACCAGGGGCCGGACGAGCAAGGTGGGAGGGTCCTCCCAGAGCCTCCAGAGGGCGCTCCCGCCGGCCCCGCGACTCTGCACTCCCCGCCTCTGCGGGCAAGCTGGCCCGGAGCTGGCCGGATTCAGCCGGAACGAGGCAAATACTGACGCACGGATTCAGGGCACCGCAGAGGTCGTGGCTTCCTCTCCAGCGTCACTGGGCACCGGGTGTGGCCCTGGCCCACCACCCTCCCAAAACCCCACGAGGAGCGGCTGCGTGGGTGGCCGTGCCCAGGTCACATGGTGTCTTGGAATGGGGGCGGGGCCGACACGCAGCCTCTACCTGCATCCCCAGCGGGGGCCGACCCCTCCTCTGTTCTCGTCCCCACCCCACCACTCGAGCAGACGCGACACTTCGGTCCCTGGCTTCTGGACCTGCGTTTGAACTCAGCAGCTCTGCTGGGCTGGGCCTCTGTTGTCCCCCCACGACATTCCGACGCCTCTCAGAAGCTGGGAGCCAGGGATCCCGCTCTTCCACAGCCCGAGCCTCCCGCGGTGGGGCCGGGCTGCGCCCCCCCTCGGCTCAGGGAGCTCGGAGCTGTCGGACCTCCTCGAGGAATCGAGTGCGTGCATCTGGGGGCGTGTGCGAAAGGCGCTCCTCGGGCCACGTAGTGGCATGTGCTTCCGCCACCACATAACGCAGGAAAACGCCGCACAGAGGCGGTGCCGCAGCCTACAGCACAGGTGGCCAACACGAGGCCCGAATCCGGCCCGGCACCTTGTTTCTACCCGGCGGCAGCGCTGAGCTCCTTGCCCCTAGCTAAGGAGCAGGTACACTTACACAGCCCTGGAATCGCATTCGGCCCTTTGAAGGCGACCTCGAGGCTGATGTGGCCCCCGGTGACGATGAGTTTGACAGCCCTGGCCTACAGGGTCGACCCCAAGCACAGCCGGCTGCAGGCAGCTACAAAATGTTCTAGAAAGAGTGAATGAAGCCATGTTGTCCTCAGGACCTGACGCTCAGAGTTTCAGCCTGCACCACGGATGTGCCCACAGGTAACGTGGGTTTGTCATTAAGTGTGTAACTCATTCAGGGTAAGTGTGACGTTGGAACCGAGGGGCCTGCTGCCTCGGCCTCCGCTCAGCGCCCGGGGCCATGCGGCCCGTCAAAGACAGGTGACCGGGAGGAGAGGGAGGAAGCGAAGACCCCCGAGGTGGTCGCACCTGGAGACTCACAGACCGTGTGACTGAGAAACACAGCCGTGGAGAAGGGACAAGGCCAAGGGACGGTGGCCCCAGCTTCTCGGGGCCCCAAACTGCGGGAGGGCAAGCCCGTGGGGACCTGGATGGGGACGAGGGTGGGGGAGTGGAGTCTGTCTGCGGGGCCGCCCGGGCGACCATTCTGGGGCTTCTCCAGGGCTGTAGACGCCCCCGGAGACGGGCTGCATGGCGAGCTCGACCCTCGGAGTCTGCTCTGGGACGAGGAGGCGTCCAGGGGCTGCTTTCCGCGTCCGCTGAGTCTCGGCGGCCTGCAGCCGAACACGGCCCGCACACCAGAGGGGCGCGTTTGGGGTCACGTATTCGGACCCCTGTCTGCTCCCCCTGACCTGGGCAAGGTCACTTGTCTGTCTCGGCCACCTGCCGACTAAACTCCTTAGTGTGTCGCTGACAGCTAACCCCATGGGGCGTGGGAACAGTCCTGGCAGTGTTGGGGGGAAGGGACAGACGGACAGACAGACAGAGACAGAGAGAGGGCCCTAACCCGCCCAGCCGTGACTCGGGCCCGGCCGGGGCCCCCGGCTGCTCGCCTGCCGGGCCTCGGGGCCGTCGGGGACTCACGCCGAGAGGGTGCGGGAGTAGGAGGCAGCTCCTTGGGGAGGTTCTCGCCACAGGGGACGCCCTGGTCGCAGGTCTGCAGGCATCTCGTGTCGAGGGCTGCAGCGCCCCACCCCCAGACATGAGATTGCAGCCACAAGCAAAGATGAAGTCATTCCCTTCCACTGACCGCCCCCCCCTTCCCCCCGGTACTGGCTGCCCCTCGGCACCAGGGGTCCCTCAGGCTCGGGGTGGAGACGGCCCCAGACATCCCTCGGAGCTGCTGCTGCGCACCAGCACGGTGAGGGGCACGGGGTGTCTGGACGTAACGTTAACCGGGCGCGGAGACGGCACCGGGCGGGGTGCCGATGGGAAGGCGCTTCTTCCCGCCGCTGCCCGGATGTGGAGGGAGGGGCGGCGTTCCAGCCCCTCCCGCGAGCTGCCCCCCCCCATGTCCGCGGGGACCGGGGTCTGTGTGTGTCTCACTCCCAGGAACAAAGAGCAGTTACTTCTGCACCACAGATAGCGACACACTTTATTCACTTAAAAAACACACCCTTCCCCCAGCGCTCGCTCGAGGTGCGTGGTGGTGGTGGTGGTGGAGACGGTCACTGGTGACAGGGGGGCCGGTGCGGCGCAGTCCTTCCACCGGGCAGAGTCCTGCCGCTGCCAGACGGCGGCGTCTCACAACCTGCCGCTGCTCGGGACGGGACCTGAGACCTGAGGCCTCGCTGGGCCGCGAGCAGGGTGTCCGCTCCGGCCGGAGTCCGAACCAGGGCCCTGCTGCTCCCTCGCTCTCCTCGCGATGCCCAGATGGTGGGGGCGCGGCCCTGGGGCCCCTCGGACGCGTTGAAGGGGGGACGTCGGTCAGCAAGCCTGGTGACCGGCACCCGCCTGGAGCGTCCGGATGAGGTGCTGGTAGGTGTCTCTCTCCGCCCGCCAGCCATGGTGCGCCCCCACGTACGCCCGGCCGCCGGCCCCCAGGTCCCTGCCCAGCGCGGGGTCGCTGACCAGTCTCTTCGCCAGCTGGACAAACTCCTGCGGGGTGAGGAAGGGGAGACACGGGTGTGAGTCGCCGGTGGAGGGGTTAGCAGATGCCCGTGGAGCTGGCGTCTGCGTCGGCTCCCGGTCTCCCGGTGACCGCCGCCCCGCTCGGGAGGGAGCGGCCCGCAGGAGGGACGAGAGTGGACGCAGACATCAGGACGGGATGAGAAATATGACGTGTGGGTTGGCCAGAAGGCTGGGGCGGAGTTTTCCCGTCAGGTGGCCCCAGTAGCGCCTGGCTGCCTTTGACGTCCTTCGAAATCACTTTGTTGGATTATATAGAGACAGCTGTCGCGTCAGTGTGCATTTAAAAAAATACACCTAAACTGGTCAGTTTTTGTGTCTGGCCATTTTAATACCGAAGAGGCTTTATTATGTCTAGAAAGGTCAAAACGCCACTGAAACGCGAAAAGAGATTGGTGCCGTGTGCGGAGAAGGCGCTGTGGCCGATGGAACGTGTCAGAGGTGGTTTGTGAGCTTGGTGCTGGCGAGTCCCCGCGGGGCGGTGCCCCCCGGAGGGGCAGGCCGGCTGAGGCCGGTGGCCACCCAATCAGGATGTTCATTGGGAACAACCGGCGTCCTGCCCGGCAGGGGACAGCCGGCACCCTCACCCTCGTTAAACCAGCCGCGTCCTGGGTGAGAAGGAGAGCCGCGTCTCTGGGTTACAGGAAAAAGCTGAACAGCCTTTTTGGCCGACCCAGCACAGGCACACGCACGCACATGCACACGTGCACACGCACAACATGCACACGCGCACACGCCCGCACACGCCAGGATGAAGCCCGCGGGGGGTGTCGGTGCGGCCCCCTGCCCGTCTTCCCTAGGTCGCCCCGACCGGCATGTCTTTCCCGACCCCCACTCTTCCGACCGCGATTTCCTCCCTCGTCCCATCGTCCCGGTCTCAGCGGAGACCAGAGTCGGCCAACGCCAGGCCGGGTCCCTGGGCCCCCCAAGCAGCGCTGCTCCGGCCCCGGCTGCTCTCCATGGTGTCGGTTGTGGCTTCCCACTACCGCCGTGGTCTGGTGTCACAGCTGCCGCGTCAGCTGGGTTCAGACTCTCCCGAAGGGGCTTAGCGGTGCGGCCTCGGGTGAGCAGGTCACCTCTCTGAGCACCCCCGTCGCCTCTAAAGGGGCCACGGGCAGTCGGTCCGTGGCAGGTGCAGCCCTGCCCCAGGCACATAGGGGAAGGGGGGCCCGGACTGGGTGGCCCGAGTTCGCTCTGGTGCCCAGCCGCAAGACGTCTCTCTCTCCCTCTCTCTGTCTCTCCCTCTCTCTCCCCCCCCCTCTCTCTCCACCCCCCTCTCTCCCTCTCTCTGTCTCTCCCTCTCTCTCTCCCCCTCTCTCTCTCTCTCCCTGTCTCTCTCTCCACCATCCCCCTCTCTCTCCCTCTCTCTCCCTCTCTCTCCCTCTCTCTCCCTCTCTCTCCCTCTCTCTCTCTCCACCCCCCCTCTCTCCCTCTCTCTCTCTCCCTCTCTCTCTCTCTCCCCCCCCCTCTCTCTCTCTCCACCACCCCCCTCTCTCTCCCTCTCTCTCCCTCTCTCTCTCTCGCCCTCTCTCTCTCCCTCTGCTAGGCTCTCAGACTCGTGGTAAGAGCACCACCTGGCCACCCTGGCTGCCACATTACAACCGTCGGGGCCGGAAAGAACTAGAATGAGTCCGGTGGTTAAAGGTGCTCAGAGACAGGAGGGGACACTCAGCATTTATTCTGCTTGCGCCTGTGTCGGGGGCAGCTCCCCGGGCCCCCTCCCGTGCCCAGTCGTCAGGGGCAAGGACGGGGCGCCTGGTGGAGCGTGGGCGGCTGAGTGAGTGACGCATAGGACACAGGGCAGAGCCTGGCAGGACACCGCCGCCACAGTTGTCCCCGTCCCCCGAGCCGTGTGGGTCCCAGTGACGCGGCCGGGCCTGCGAGGGGCACACACTGCTTGCTGTTGGAAGGGAACGTCCCCGTGTCCTCAGAACGGCTGTGAGTGAGACGCCGAGTGGCTGAGCAGTGCACACAGCGCCGCTCGCGGGAGAGTGGAGTGGCACTTCCAGGCGTTGTGTGTGTGGTGAATCGCTGTTCTCTCGTACTTTTTAAAGATCATTCTTTTTAAAAATATTTTATTTACTTTATTTCTAGGCAGCGGGGAAGGGAGGAAGGGAGGGAGAGAAACATCCGGGTGCGGTTGCCTCTCGAGCGCCCCCTGCTGGGGACCTGGACAGAAACCCAGGCCTGTGCCTTGACTGGGGATTGAACCAACAACCCTTCGGTTCACAGGCCGGTGCTCAATCCACTGAGCCACACCAGCCAGGCGCTGTTTTCTTTGATCGTAAAAATATAGCGTGTTTATTCCCATCTCATGGTAACAGAACCATGTTCTTATGAAATTGTTTGAGAGGCTGAGAGCTTTGCTGTACTATCGGGTGGCTGGCCCTGTCTTTGATTTATGTGACACAGAGCTCTTCCGCCAAAACCCCAGTCCCTGCCTGGAATCCTGACGGACAGTTTCCAGGAGAGGCAGGCGGCAATCAAACGCACTGTCTCCTCCCGCACGCACGGAAGGGCAAACAGGAAGCCGAGGCTCAGGTGAGGCGGAGAGACCAGGTGGGAAGGGAGACGGGCCTGGGCCCCCGGTGCAATGACCCTGACGCGGGGCTGGAGGTCGGGGGCGGTCTCGGTCCGGGCGCATGAGCAGCCCTCCCCGGAGTCCAGGGTCTCCTCGGCCGGACGCAGGCGGCGGTGCCCACCTGACCGCTGAGGGGACGCGCTGACCGCAGGGAGAAGCCAGCACCCCGTGTGGAGGGGATGCAGAGCAGTCCCCCCCCCCCATGGCTACCGGGGCTCCACAGCAGACGACACAGCTGCCTGTTTGCAAGTACGCAGACTTCGCCGTGACTCCCGGGTCAGTCCGCACCCGTCCGCCCAGCGTGTCCTGGGGGCTGGCGTGGCCGTCCCCGAGCACGGGGAGCTCCCGGCGCCCACGCACTTGGCTTTGGGGGGTGGGCGGGGCATACAGCCCACAGCTGGTTATACTTCCAACAATTACGGATGCTCATTTAGAAAGTTAAAATTTTAGAGAGATACACAAACTAGAGTGAGGAAGAGAGACATGATATTTTGCAGAACCAACCACGTCGCCCAGTTCCTGAGGGGAGAGGGGCCCGAGTGAGCCGGTGGGGGGATGCAGCTCTCCCAGCGCCCGCCTGCCCCTCGCCCGTGCGGGCACCTGCCCAGCAGGGGCACACAGGTGGCTTGCACGCTCCCGGGCCCCGAGCAGCAGCGGAGACACCCCGGACTCGAGGACACACGGCTCCCAGCCGAGGCGCAGAGGAGCCCTCCACGCCCCTTTTCTCGGTCCCCAGCCTGCGCATCGTCCTCGCCCTCGGACAGGCGGGGGGCTGAGCACGGGAGTCAGAAACATGCCCAGAACCACGCGGATTTCAAGGGAGACACTCGAGAGCTGAGCACAGCTGCACCCGACCGAACGTTTGGGGGGTGCCAGTCCCCCAACACCCCCACTTTTCCCCAACGTTAAACTGCTGATTCAAGATCAACTCCGTTACCATTTATAGGAAGAAGTAACAAACTCTAATACATGTGGAAATTCATGCAGAACGCCAGGAACAGTGCTCGGAATATAATGTGCACCTGATAAATGGTAGCTACCGTCATCACCATCACCATCATCACCATCACCACCACCACCATCATCACTACCACTATGTCCACCATCCCCACCACCATCATCATCATCACCGTCCCACCATCATCCCCACCACCCCCACCATCATCACCATCCCCACCACCATCCCAACCATCATCATCATCATCATCACCACCACCATCCCCACCACCATCATCACTACCATCCCCATCATCCCCACCAGCCCTACCATCATCACTGTCACCATCACCACCATCATCACCACCACCATCCCCACCATCCCCACCACCATCCCAACCATCATCATCATCATCATCCCCATCACCATCCTCATTATCACTATCATCACCATCATCCCCACCATCACTGTCCCTACCGTCACCACCACCACCATCCCCACCATCCCCACCACCATCCCCACCATCATCCCCACCATCACCACCACCGTCCCCACCGTCCCCACCCTGTTGTCAGGTGGTCTCGTCACAACTACAGAGGAAACAACGGCACCTGTGACACCGTGTCTGGCACACTTTCTCCAACCGTGTTAAAAATGCAGCCCCGCCGCGTAGGAAAAGCAGAGACTTGTGTTTTTAAAAGCCGTGCTGTGCGGAACGAACGCTCACATCGGAATCCATCTGTGCGGGGCGGTGGGTGGGCGCGGCGGCACGGCATCTGAGAGCTCCCGGGGGCCGGCCGCCCGCGGAGGGACCTGCTCGCGGCAGCGGCAGGACAGTCACTCGCCAGCAGAAGGGGTGACACCCCACGAGGAGCTCTCCGAGGTCCGGCCACCCACACAGCTTTGCCCGTGCTCAGCCGGCTGCGCCCACGCGGAAGGTCGAGTCCCCAGCCCGGGCACGTGTGGGAGGCAACGATCTCTCTCCCCCCCCTTCACTCTCTCTAGAATCAGTAAACACATCCTCAGGTGAGAATTTTTAAAAATCAGAAATCTGAGCATCTCAGGGGAAGTGACCGTCTCGAGGTCTCGCAGCTCATCTGTGCAGGACCGGGAAGGGCTCTCAGGCCACGCCCCCAGGTTCCTCCAGCCGGACGTCTGCGGGGCTCCCGTGTGGTCCCGGCCGGCGCCGCGTCACACAGGGCTGCCCTGACCGTGACCGGGGTGCGGGAACGCTGACAAAAACGCACACGTCTCAGACGCAGAGGGAAATGCACGCGAAGACCACCCCACGCAGGGCGCCCCGTACCTGAGGGTCGGAAAACAGCAGGCCGGTGGCCCCGTGCCGGACCACGGCGGCGTTCCCGGGGATGTTCCTGGCCAGCACCGGCACCTCCAGCTCCATGGCCTGCAGGGCGGGAAGAGGGGAGGCGCGCTGGTTGGAAGGGCCCGTGTGTGGGCGGAGACTCCCCGGCCCAGGCCCCGCCCACACGGCCGCATCCAGTGGAGGCACCCGCTTTCAGACTGCGTGTGGATTCTCACGACGCGCTCTATCTGCAGTTCTGGGAAGGACACCCTGTCCCCGAGGGACAGGGTCACGGCCGTGCCACCAGAAACCGCCCCTCTACATGTTCACGGGGCACAGCTTCAGCCACAGCTTGGGGTCACATCACCCCCTGGGAGAGGCGGTTTTCCCCCGGCACCGGTGGGACTGAGCGTGTGCCTTTGGCACGCGGGCGAGGACACAACGGAAGGAACGAGGTCACCACCGCGCGGCTTTCCGACCCCAAGGGCTGGGAGCGGCTGTCACTTCGTTCTGAGCCACCCCCTGCTCCCCCCCCCCCGCCCCCTGCATGAGCTCCGCGACCTGTGACCAGGCTCACACTCCACGGTCTTAAAAACCTTGGCAGAGTCCGCAGAGACACCGTGTCCACCCTGCAGGGCACAGCAGCCTTAAGACCCACCCCTGCCCGGGCTCCAGCCAGCACAGCGCCCGGGACCCTCGGAAGGGAGGCTCCGCCCCCGTTTGTAGGGTTTTCGAGCCCCAGGGGGACGACGAGACCCCTGGGGTCCAGCCGCCTCCGCCAGGACGTCTGGCAGAGAAGCTCCGCTCACGTGCTGGCGGCCCCGACAGGCAGAGTGTCCGGCTGGACGGCGCACGGACGTGCCCCTGCAGGGCGCTCAGCCCCGACGCCATCGGGGAGCCAGCGGCGTTGTGGGCACAATCCCAGACCCTGTCCCGCGTCCTAAAGAGCACTTCGCTCTCCTGCCGTGCCTCCCCACCCGCAGCGTGAGTTCGAGGAGCCCCTTCTCACCGAGGTGGCGCACCAGGCCTCACCACTCTGGGTGGGCAGGGCCTGGCACCCCCCCGCACAGCTGCACGGCAGCCGAGGCCGATGGCGCAGCGCGGCTGTCCTCCCGGGAATCCCCCCGCCGCACCCGGACCTGGGAGCCGAGTGCAGGACGGTCTTCCCACTGCCGTCGGCTCCCGCATTCTCCCCGGGGGGGCTACCGTGTAACCCCGGGGGGGCGAGTGTGCATGTGTGTGCGCATGTGTCATGTGCATGCGTGTGTTCTGGAGTGGGGAGGAGAGACCCCGGTGAGGGAGACCCAGATTAGAAAAGACTCGTTCTGAACTCCTTTCCTCCTGGCCCGGCCGAGTCCAGCTCCACGGGGTTGCTGAATGCCCTGACCCAGCGGGCGGGTCAGCTGCGGGCGAGCACCCAGCTCGGGCCAGTGTCTGCGGCTCACTGCTCGGAAGCGGGTGTTTGCGGACGGGACTTGCCTGTGCCTCACGAGGAAACACCCGATTCTGGGACGTGCGAAGGCCCCGGTCTCCCGTCCTACGTGTGCCCCTGCTCCCAAGGCTCACCACACGGGGGTCTGAGCCCACCCTGCCGAAATGTGCCCTCTGCACCCCTGGGAAAGCAGGCGTGTGCCAGACCCTCGGCCCGACGCCCGCCCCCCACGGCGGTGGGAGCTGCCAGCGCGGCCTTGCCTTTGAAGCGGATGAGACTTGACAGCAATTTGTCTGCCGTGAATTGCTGTGAGTGCCGGTTATGAAACGCTTCCTGGATCCCACTCTGCTGCTTCTCAAGATCTGGGGGGCGGGGCGGGAGGTGGGTGTTTACGGAGGACGGCGCAATCAGCGGGCGGGTGGGGGCCGGGGCCCGCAACGCACACCGTTCCAGCTGACACGTGTCCAACCATCACAGGGAGGCTGCTTTCAGACCTCAGAAGAAGTGGCCGCTAATCGTTAAGCACAGAGGGAGGGGCTGGCACGTGGCCGAACTCGTCACAGAGCCACACGATGCACCACAGACGCCGCCCTGCCCTGGACTCCCGGGCGCGGGCAGTGCAGAGCTGCTCCCCTACCCCCAACCTTCGTTTGGGGTGCTTTTCCTTTCTTAAACGGTGCCACGTTAAAACAGCGTGCTGGTCACGCAAGCCCGGTCCTGTCTTCCATTGAGGGAGGGTCGGTCCTTTTCCTGGTTTGGTTTCTGCGTTCACGGAAACAGCAAGGGCCACAACTTACACCTCAAGCCGATAAATTCAGAGGTTCCAACTAGTGTCCAAAGGAATGAAGGGGTGTTTTAAGCACTTCCGGCACAATAACAGCATCGCCCCACGGAGACACGGGGGTGAGAAACCCACAGGGTGAGGAAGAAAGCAGAACCCACTCAGAGACCCGCGGGACCAGGGCCGACAACCTTTCTCTCCCCCAGGGGCGACAACCTTTCTCTCCCCCAGCAGCTTCCGTCCTGTGCTAATCGGCCAGTCCCCATGTGCTGCGTCTCCCGTGTGCCGAGAACCACGGACGAGGCGTGAGTGGGGCAGCCTGGGGCCGCAGGGTTCGGGGGAAGCCCAGTACCAGGGCTGGTCAGGGCCGGTCAGGGCCGGTCAGGGCCGGCGCGAACGGACGCCCCCTGCACTAAGCTCACCTTCGCAAGGAACCCGAATGCGATGAACTAACAGCAAAACAGGGCAAAGGACAACCCTCCGTGTTAGCCACACGCTGGCCTTCCCCTCGAGGGTCTAAGTTTCACCCGGATATCGGGGTGAAACTCCCTGGCCCCTGGAACGTTCCAGAGAGACCAGGGATGGCGGGGCGGCTGAGCGGCTGGGTTGAGTGTCTCCGGGACAGCCGACCCAGTCCAGCCAGAGCCACCAAGACTCCAACCAGAGGCTGTTTGCTGGGGCCGCTCCCTGCGGGACACCGGTCACCGGGCCACCAGCCCGGGGCTCTGCCGGGGCCTGTGTGGGTCCAGCCAAAGGAGACCCAGCCGTTTTCTGGAGCCCCTCCCTCCACCCCACCTGCACCTCTACCCCCTGCACTCCCCCCCACCCCTCATCCTGGGGGCGTGAGCCACACTGAAAACGGGGAGAAGAAACCAAGGAAAGGGGGGCTTCTTGCAAAAACACAGCCACCCCGAGCCGCGTTCCCGCCCTCCCACCGGGGCGAGTCCTGCCGGGTCCCCAGCAGCGCCATCCTGGGCTGAAGTCGCCGTGTGGCCGGCAGGGGAGGGCCGTGCCAGGTGGAGGGATTGCTTCCGAGTCCCGGGTGGGACCTAGAATCGACTTCTGAGTTCCCAAGGAAAATCTGTTTTGCTTCTCCCAAGCTCCGGGAGGCGCAGGGCCAGGCTGAGAAAGACGCCCGCTCCGTCCACGAGGAGAGAGGCAGCAGGCGGTCTCCCCTGCGCCCTCTCGGGGCCCCCCCGGGGGGGCCGTTACCTCCAGAATGGCGGCGGACATGCCCTCGGAGACGGAGCTGTTGACCAGAGCGACGCAGTGCCTCAGGGCTGCGTGCAGGTCCTCCTGCGGCATCTCCCGGACCAGGCGCACCCCCGCGGAGCTGCAGCAGAGGACGACACGGTGGGGAGCGTGGGCTGCGGGGCCTCACGGAGGGGCGGGGGGGGGACGGACGACAGCTCCGGAGACGCCCCCTCTGTCACAGAGGCAGCACTATGGGGAGAGGGGTCAACACCCGGAGCGACTCTGCGGGGGCGGGGGGGAGCGTCTCCCCCGTGTCCGCCCCGACGGGGAGGGGGCAGCCTGCCGACACATCCGTGCTGGGCGTGAACACGGGTGGCACCCGGGGCGCAGGCGTCTCCGACTCCGGGGTTCGGGGACGGGTGTGTGGCCGTCTTCCCTGCAGGGGCTGGGGTGGGAGTCCCTCCCCACAGCTCCGCCCTTCTCAGACGTGTTTGAGACGCTGGCGCAGACAGCAACGGGGGGACCGGCAGAGGGCAGTAGAAATGCCAGGACGAGAGAGAAGGCCCGCGGCACCCACGCGCCCGGCACCCCGAGCCGGCAGGACGCCATCCCCAGGGTGTCACCTGGCGTGTGTGTTCTGTCTCTCGTTCGGCAATGCCGACTCGCCTGTGTCCCCTCCCCTCTGCACCGCCCTCGTGACCGTGACGCCCTTTCCCACAAGCGGCCCTGCCTTCATGTGCGTGCATCTGTGAGCTATAGAAAGACCCCCAGTTGTACATGGACATAAAGTCAGTATCCCCCGGTCCCCTTTGCTGACGGAGTGGCCAGAGAGGTACAGCGGATTCCTGGTGTGGGGGGGGTCCAGGAGGAAGTCACCTTCAAGGGGGCTGACCCACATGGGAAATGGCCCTCTGGCCTGCCCTTTCCTGTCTCTCCTCTCAAAATTGGGAATGTGATGAGATGGGTGGAGCTCTGCAGCCACTCTGCCACCTCAAGGATGGAAGCCACAGGTGAGGGACAGCAGGACAGAGAGACAGAAGCCCAAGTCCCTGAGTCTTACTAGCCCTGGGCCCACCGCGTCAGAATTTTTATGGAACCACTTAAACACCCCAGGCGTTTGAGCCGGTGTTGGCGGGTCTCTGTTATGGGCAGACACGGGCCATTTATAACAGAAGCTCCAACCAATGGTGCTCCCGAGAGGTGACGAGGGGTGCCATGTCCCTCCACTGCCTCAAACCCCAGGCATTTGAGGTCGTTTTGGAGTTTGCCAGCGTCCCGTGGATGTTAGCCATCAAAGTGCTTTTCCCAGCCGCTCTCCCGAACCAGGGAGGCTGGCACCCTCCCATGCGCACTGTCCCTGCCGCTCCGGGCGCGGCTCATGCTCTGAGGACACAGTTTCCGGCTTGTGCAAGGGCGGTAGCACTGCCTGGGGTCACCCGGGACCATGGGAAGCATTAGAGGAGGAGCCCCTGGGGAAGTGTTGGGGACAGAGCCGGGACACAGACGTTGCTGCGTAACTGTGGGATCCCCCTGGGTCCCCCCACCAGGGTAATGCACTGGCCATTGGGTTTCCTCTCCTGCAAAACAGCTGCTCGCCGCTGACGCTTGCTTACCTCTTCACCTTGGCCTTCACTTCCCTTGTAAACACTGGGTCCACCTGCCAAGAGACACGGCCACGCGTTAGGAAAAGCCTGAGACCAGCCTACGTCGCCGGAGAATGGTGCCATGACAACAAGGCCACCCTGGACAGTTTACAAAGGAAACAAGTCCAATCAGAAGGCGTCCCCGAGTCCAGCTGTCCACCCTCACAGCGAGGGGGAGAGAATGGAGAGACGGTCCAAACAGAGCAAACACGTACACACACACACACACACTCTCTCTCTCTCTCTCTGTCTCTCCCCTCTCTCCGTGGGGCTACGGGAACCCTGGGCACAGTGGGACACGGACACTGCCACCCCCTCGGGGGACCCGACCCCTGCTCCCATCCTCGGAAAGGCGGGCCTGGGTCATTAGGGCGTGGATTTTGCTGTAGAGTCTTTGAGACCAAATGAGCTGGAACGGTTAACAGGTCTGTGACAAAGGACACGAGAGAACTAAACGTTATTTTTAACGGGGAGCCCCCCCCCAGAGACACAGATGTGAGGCCAACGGCGCTCCCACCGGCTGGGGAACCGATAAGTACAGGGAAGTCCCCCACACAGGGGAGTGCCACTCGGCCGCAACAAAGAACAACGCTCCACGCCTGCCGTGACTCGGATGAACCCAGACACGACGCTGAGTGGGAGGCCCCGGCACAGAGGCCCCAGGGGCTGCGATCCCGAGTCTGCGATCCCCACGGGGAGCGTCCAGACCAGGCAAGTCCCCAGAGACAGAGGGCAGATTCGTGGTTGCTGGGGGCAGGGGGCCCGGGGGTGGGGGTGAGGGAGGGGGAGGGCAAGTGACTGTTTGGAGCTGTGGGCGGGGTTTCCCGCGGGCTGACCTGTGGGGGCGGGGCAGGGGGGGTGACGGCTGCAGAACTTCGTGAAAGTCCCGACACCCACTGGGTCGTACGCTTTGCAGGGAGGTGTTTGTGGCGTGCGAACTATGTCTCGACTCTTTGGAAAGGCACATGCGGCTTTGCCATCGCGACCCGCTGTCCTCGGCGCCTCAGCCTCCGTCACAGCTGCAGGCCCCGGTCCCCGGGGATGCCAGGCCCCGCGCTTCCTCCCGTCCCGTCCCCGGGGGTGAATCTGTTTGCTGAACCAACGCGAAAATCAGCAGCAGTGTTTGCGAGCCGACCTGCTACGCCAGGATTTTCACTCCACGTGGTTTTTTAAGCAGACTCGCGTGCAGAGGCACAGAGGGCGGCAGGGACTGAACAGGCCCTGGAGACGACCCCGGGGTGAGCCCCGGGTGCCGCTCCTACTGACGAGTGGCCCTGGGCCCCGCTTTCCCCTTCTGTGGCATGAGGAACCGCATGCACCCTGGGCTCACGGAGGATCTAATCAGCCCAAACCCACCCGGTGGGAGGAGCTGCACGGGACACAGGGGGCTTCCGCGGGAGCCTGGAAGGGAGCCCGCTGGCTCTCGGACCCTGCTGCACAGGGCGAGAGCGGGGGCTGCCGTTGGCACGACCGGTTCACACGTTTCCGAGCTCCTCCTCGAGTGTGCGCGTGCGAGGGGACATCGCCACACTATTCAATGCCCCCGAATGGGGGCACCCGCCACCCTCCTGACCACAGACCAAACCCCGGGACTGTGTGGTCACAGTGACCTCTCCTCAGGGATGTCCCCTCGCTGGGTGCCAGGAGGACCTCAGGGGACACCCCTCGGCTGTGACGGGGACCCCACAAGCCTGCTCAGGATGAGGCTGCTGCATATGCTTCTCACTATCGGCTTCCCAGACTGCAGACTCCCCCAGAGCCGCCGAGAGGCTGGCTTCGCCCTGCACTGGCTCCCCCGGTGTTACTAACAATGACACTGTTTAGAAAGAACAGACAAAACGTTCTTAAATGCGTGCGAGTACAATGCAGAGTCTGAAACACCGTGTAAACACGTTTGACTAAGTCGGCGTCATCCTGCCACTCCGGATGAGCCTGGAGTGAGGGCCGATGCAATTTCTCTTCTCATTCACGCTCTGCCCGGAGGTGTTAGCGATGACAAATGCAGTCCCCGACAGTGCGGCGGAGGTGACCGGCGGAGGTGACAATAGCCCTGACGCTCATCACACTCACCGTACTCACTGAAACCATTCTGTTTCCCAGAAAACCCTGTGTGTGTGGGGGGGGGACCCCAAACCCTTCAGACCACTGGTATGACCGAGACGTACCCCCGAAACTGGGAACGCTGTTCATTGACATCCTCAAGATCCCTTTGAAGGCTGAACGGGCAGATGTGGGTGCATCAGAAAAGGAAATTATTCCTGGGTAGGATTTTGTACGGTTTCACGTATTTTCAGAGCAAACTCGGAGGAAGGGCACAGGAGGCAGGCAGCTCCGAAACCAGGTAATTAATTGCACGCGGGAGGGCTCTGCAGTGCTGCACATGGACAGAACCCGCTGTCGGGCAAATGAGCGGCAGAGGCCGTGGCGTTTCTGTCAGTAAGAAACTGGCCTGTGAGAAGGGGCCCTGAAGCCAGGCATTGTTCAGAAAGAGGTAACAGGCTTATTTATAACCGTTACAAAAGTCCGCCGCTGGGACCTGATTGCCGAGATGTTCTGACCTGCGTTGCTGCCTTAATTCTCTGCTTTTGTATTAAAAATGCGCATACAGAGTAAAAAGGAAGGATTGCCAATGTGCGATTTCCGCCTCCAATTTTCCAGCGGAAATCATACACACGGGACCTCGTGGGTGGGGGGAAGCATCCCTGGGGAGCAGTCGGCCCTGGGGTAGCCGCGGTGTGGCCCTGCCCTCTTCCTGTTTCCGCTGGTGCCCCGGTGGGCTGGGGGCTGTGCTGGGGCCCCAGAGGGCCACATGGAGGCTGCAGAGACCATGCTATTCCTGGTGTGGACCTGAGAAAGAAGGTTCCTACCAACCAGGGCTCCTGGCGACTCACTGGGCTCAAATTAAAACAAAAACAGAACATAGCAGCCATTTCTACACAGGGGCCTCTTGTGCAAACGGCACTTGGGGAACAAGCCTGCCGTGAACTGCCCACCTGCACTGGGCTCCTGCCCCGCGAGCCGGCCCTTATAAAGGAGCACCTGGAATCCTATTTCAGCCAATAGGACCGAGGCTTTCCTTGTCCAATAGGAGCTGTGCAGCTATGTCCCCATCAGTATCTCCACCTGCCCATTAGTGGGGCTCCATTCTGACCAATCAGGAAAGGGCCTGTTGGGCCAATCAAACTGTGAGGATTTGGAGTTCATTTGCATGAGGATGAGCCAATCAGAGCCCAGGGGTGGGGCCTTCTGTCTATATAAGCCAGCTCCCCCGCTTGCCCAGAAGACTGAAGACAAGCTTTCCTGGCTGGAGGCTAAGTGCAGAGGACTTGCTGGCAATGGAGCGGGGCCGGAGAGGCCGGGCCCAGGGCCGCGGTGCAGGCGTGCTGTCTCGTATCTGGAGTGTAACACCGTTGAGCTATTTCGTAGTCATGCTGTGTCACAACTGAGCTGTTCTGCACTGAATAGACTATTCTTCTTCGCCGCACCCCAAAGTGGGGACCCCTGTTGGCACTGAATTGGCGCCAACAGCCATCTCGACACTAGTAAGACATTGAAAAAAACTCAAGGCTGCGCACAGTTGATTGTTTATTCCTGTTGCTGTGAAGAGTCCCTATTTAGCTGCGGCTCGCTCTTGCCTAGCCCATGCTGGGCCCGCACTTGCATTGCCACGCTTCTTGCCTGCGGCCTGTTAACATCTCCACCTCCAGTGAGAGGGCCCTGGAGCTCAGAGCGCTGCTGTGACTTAGCTGGGTTCATCCCGTGGGCAGGCCGGGTGCTGGGCAGAGCTCACGGGCTGGTAGCTTGACTCTGGGGCTAACCTCTCGAAGCTGTGTTCTCCTGCCTCTCCCCTTTGCACTCAGGAGCTTCCTATGGCAGCTCGTCAGAAGCTGACGTGGACAAGGGAGCACCTGCCTGCTCCCCTGCCTCCCGCCCACTGCTGTCCATGTGCATCTCCTGTCTCTGCCTCTCTCCAAAGGGTACACCATTCTGTCCACCAGCAAGGCCCCCCTCTGTCCCTATGACCCACCGGTCCCCCACAGGGGGACAGGCACACACCCCATCTGAGGAACCTGCCCCATCCAACCTCCCCCCGACCGTCTTTCTACGTCCACCTCCCAAACCCAGCCCTGCCTTTTCGCCATCTGTCCACCTCATCTCCTTACAGTGCCCAGGTCCCCTGCAAGCCATGCCCGGGGCCTGCACAAGGTCCACCACATTTGCTAGATGAAGGCTTTCCCGCTGGCCCTCCCTCGCCTGCTGCTGATTCTTCTTGTTCGAATTATCCTCAGCAACTGAGTTACATCACACCCCTAACATTTTATCACTAAAGCTAAACTGCCCACCGAAAGCCTTCTTTTGACTCTACATTTTAGTTTCCGAGTCCACATTTTACTTATGCTCATTCCCGGATAGAAATTCCTCCTGCTGCAAATTTTATTAGCATGCTTCTGCTCTGGTGGTTATTTAGGTAAAAATAATGTCAAGGAGGAAAAAAAAAGCAAATTCTACAGACCGCTGCAATACATAATACTTAAACTAAAGGGAAAACGGCAACTTCCAAGAGAAAAGTAAAAACAGCATTACATTTTTCTGGATTTACCTTCCACATCAGCTCATTCCAAATCTCTTAGTGAAGCCGAGTGGAACGAAAGACAAGGCCGGGGAGGCGGGAAGGGCAGACGTTCTCATGTAATGAGGGCATGTGTGATGAAACTTTAAAAAGCAGAGGCCCTGCAGACGGCCGGGAGAAGTCCCACCCCCGCTTCTGAGCTTATTTATTTTCCAGCAAACACAGATTGTGTCAACTCCAGGCTCAAGGAAAACAATCTCTGGTATGAGAAGTAATCGAGGAAAGTCATTGAGCCGTCCCGCTCGTTCCAGCCTTTGAGGCCACACTCCTTCCTTATCAAAGACCACCAGAAAAGTCTGCCCCCCCAAGACCCCCACAAACCAGGGACACAGGCTTGCCAAGCTGAGCGAGATGGGGAGCTTTAAGGGGACACCAGAGCCGGAGTCAAGCCCTCCTGCAGCTGCAACGGACCCCAGAACATGCACACGGTGGGCGAGACCTTTACGCACACCCGCAGGACAGCGCCCACGGGCCGGGCACGGGTGGGGGCCCTGCCGTGGGTTCCCAACACCCGGGGGGCTGGGAGCGCTTCCTTAGTCAGGCCTGCTTGACGTGTGGGGAAACCGAGGCACGCAGAGCGGAACTGCACCCAGCCCACACGTAACCCCTCTCCGCGGGACGCACAGGATGCCGGCGGCGTCCAAAGGCGCCAACCGACTCGGCAGCGGCGAGCGGCGCTGCGTGACTTGGGCGGCTTCGCAGGGGGCCAGGGTCCGGCTCCATGGAGGGCTCTCGCCGAGGGTCCCCACGGAAGTGCACAGACGCGTGGCGTCTAAACAAGTGGACGCTCTCTCACGCCGCCGAGGAGCACCACCCTGCGGTGCCACAGACGACGGGGAGAGGAGAGCCCAGCCGGCGAGGGGTCTGCTCCACCCCCGGGGCTGCGTCCGCAGCGGCCCCACCAAGCATTGCATGAAGAAGTGGGCCAGGAAGGACATGAAGCTTATATGTAGGTACATGCATATATATACACACATGTACATAGTGTGTATATATGTACGCACACACAGTGTGCATGTTCAGGTCACGAACGAGGCCGTGAAGGCGTGTCGGCCTCCCACAACGTGGGTCCCTCACTGGGGTCTCTCGGTGGAGGGGGAGGGGCAAGAAGGGACTGTGCGCCCCCGCCCCGGTTGTCCCTGTGGCCGGACCGCGCTCTTCTTCCAGACGCGTTCATTGGCCGGGAGACGCGATCTGCCTCAGAGCCGCGCACCTGCGCAGGCGCGGCACCGCCTCCGGAAGCACGTGATTCGCGCAGAGTCTGGGGCGCCCCGGAGCAGCCGTCCCCCGAGGAAGACGCGCGCGCGCAACAGCGCCCTCAGTCCACGCTCCAGCGCGGCTGTGTGCGATGTGCGATATCCGGTCACATGAGGGTTTCTGTGCGCCCCCCAATTCGACCTCTGACCCGCGTCCCAGCCCTACTTCCCAGTCGCCGGCCCGTTGCCCCGCACGGCGGGGGCCAGGGCTCAGAATCCACCCCAAGGTCGTCGGGGCGGCTGCTCGTCCTGCGTGCCCAGGGGCGCAGCCCCGAGGCCGACTCCGGAAATGGACGGACGTCCGGGAGCCTGGGCGTGAGCGCGGCTGGAGCTGGCTGCAGCCGAGTGGTCAGTCGAGGCAGGTCTGCCAACGTCGCGGCTGAGCCGGAACAAGATCTGGGGAGACCGTGGCACCCAGGAAACAGCCAATGCCCTGGCCCCACGGAGGGAATACGTTTAGGAGGGAACACATGCACACACGTGCATTCACACGCATTCACGCACACGCGCACACACGTATGCACACAAATGGAAACACTGCCCCTCCCCCATCCCCACGCTCCTGGTTCCTCAAGCAACCCCCAAGGTCGGGGATGAGCACATCCCCCCAGGTGAGCGCCCCCTGCTGGCAGAGGCTTATCGGTGCGGCTTGGGTGCGAGTCCCGCAGAACCAAGCGGTACAGGGACACCGGCCTTGCATCTGTTTGCTGCGCTGTTTCGGGGAGGGTCTGAGGCAGCCTGGACCACACCCCGGGCTCGTCTTCTGCTCAGTTCGCCTTCCCTGCATGAGACTGTCTCTTCTTGGGGCCCCTCTGCGTCCCCCCTGAGGACCTGCCTGTCACCCTTGGGGGCAACGCACCCATCGTAAAGATGCATGAAAGCCTCCTAACCCAGAACCACGGTCTGGTTTTCATCGTTAAAAAGGCAAGCAGGCTTTGTCCTTACTTCACAAGGACGAAGTAATTTGGTTAGAGAAGTACTGTGAGCAGAGTTTGGACAACACAGAACAACCGAGACGCGGGAACGCACTCGGCGTCGGCCGGCTCACCTCGGGGCCCGCGATCACCAGGTAGACGCCGGGGTCCTGTCGGTGCCACTCTGGGGGGAAGAAAAGGGAAGACACTTTACCATGGCTGAACGTCACAGCGGCAAACACAGAGCTACTACGACTTTCACTCTAATATAAATTATTTCATGCTTCGCTTTCATTCACAGTAGCCCATTTAATTTATATGTATTTTAAAACATAAATGTTTGACACTTTCTCGCTGCTAGGTGAGCAGTGCTGTTCTAGGACGTTTCGCATTGTCCAGGTGTATTAGGCAGCGAGAGCCGACACGCCACCGAAACTCGGGAACAGACTGCAGAGCGTCCAGAGTCTCGTGGGCGACAAACCCCTGAGTGCATCACGTGAATGACACGCGTGAGGCATGTTCAGTTACAGTTATTTCAGCCTTAGAGTAAACAGCCGGATTTTATGCTTTCCGCAGAAGCCGAGGGCACGGGAAAGCAACTACAATGACGACAAGCACTATTGTTTTTCCTGGTTTTCCAAAGTAGCAACCTAGACTCAGTTCTGTGGACACGCGAGGAAGAGAAGATGGAGGCCCCAGCCCTACCGAGAGCAAGGCTCAGATGGCCACCCCACAGGGGTCCCTGAAACTGGGGAGCCTCGGAGACGTACCTGAGAACGCGTCCACCAGATACAGAGGGTCCTTGACCTGCCGGAGCCCGCACACCAGCAGGAACACACGCACGTCCCCAGCACGCGGGGTGATCTCTGCAACAGCACAGGCCAGGGCCCCTCAGTGGCCGGTGCTCGGCCCCCTGACGGGCAGCTCGGGAGCCCCGCCCCTCACCTTTCTTAGTTCCCTCCCTGCCCGTGAACCTGAACCGAGCCCAGCAGGCAGCACCGGGGAGGCGAGGACGAGCCTCCCCGCCCGGAGTCGCCCATACTCCCACGAAGCCACGTGGAATCACACGGCGGTTGTCTCAGACCATACCGCATGTCAGGGTGGCTCGTTACACAGAACCAGGTGGTGGTCAACAGAAATGGTTACTACCATTCACGCGAGCTGACCTAAAACTTCGTCGTCTGCAAATTTGCATAGAGGGACAAAACATCACGCACATAAAATGTTGCCACTTATCTGTGCATTCCATCCCACCACAACTTGGGGCAGATGGTCTCACTTTCCTGTGCTTCTGCACGTCTCGAGGGGGGCCATGACCGGTCTGAATGCAGCAGACACGCGGACCCCACTCGGGCACAGAAGCTGAGCAAGAACCCGGGTGCCTGGCCAGCTCCGGAGAGCATCCTTGCTGGGACGGAAAGGTCCAGACGCCCCCCCCTTAGAAAAGCCCTGAAAACCGTCGCGGTCTCTGAGTGAACTGTGGGTGCTCTCCGGGAGCTGTGTGGAGAGTTTTGTCTTTCCCCGACACCCTGGAACGCATCTGAGAGGCACAGACTTTCGTGAGTCCCTGCCTGACCCCAAGTTGAGGCGAGGAGCGACGTGAACTCCTCACTCACATGCGAGCGCGTCAGCTGTCTCTCCGAGGTCACCACTCCCTGGAGGACGGCGCTTTCATCTCCAAAATGAAAAGCGTCGTTTTCATTCTCTGGCACAGACGGCCTGACTATCTAGGGACTCATTGGCTGCTTCTGTGCCCAGATCGATCCACAAGAAGCCACTTTCTGTCCCCACTTTTCTATTCTAGCTGCTGTTTATTTTTTTTCACGGTCTTATAAAGAGAGAAGTGCCAGACCGTCAGATGGGCGCGTTTGACTTAGTGAATTTCGGCCGGCACGCTGCCCTCCGGGGCCGGCACTGACAGCCCTGGGATTCCCTCCTGAGAGGCTCGTGACTTGCCCGGGAGTAGCCCGAGGGAGAACAGCCACACCGCCTGACTCCGGCAGAGGGCCCTCCCCCCCCCCACAGAACAACACATGGCCTTTGGAAAGAGGGATGACGCTGGGTAAACAACCCGAACGGCAACAGAAGTAAAACGGGAAGGAGAAGAAGAGGCCAGAGTGGCCAGGCCGAATGTGAAAGTCCCGCGGTTCCCGGGTGGGACGCCCGGCCAGGACTGACACTGCACAGTCTCGGCCGCCGGCCCCGCCCACGACCCGGGGGGCGCCCCTCAGAGTCACTGGGCTGGCGGCTGCCGAGGGTTACGGGATCGCTAAGACTGTGCAGCAGAGTGTCACTGTCTGCAGCTCAAACTGCAAGTGACAAGTGGCAGCTGCTGGCTGCCGGGGGCTCCCGGGGAAACTGGAGACGGGGGACGAGCGGGGCGGGCCCCCCTGTGGAGGCTGGACCACCACAGAGACGCACGGCCACACGAGTGAGCGCACACGCCTGATCGCAAAACCCGGGGCGCTGGCTACCCTACAACCTCTGACCCCACAGCCAGCCTCTGGTCCAGCGGCTCCTGCACAAGAGCCTCCACCCCGGGTATCTAGGGCACGGAAACACGTGTAAGGGAAAAAAGAAAAAGAAAAAAGAAAGAAAGAAAAAAGAAACATGTGTAATACCACCCAGAACAATAAAACCCTCCAAATAAGGTCATACTATATATTAAATATAATGTATGTATAGATATGACCATATAATTTTATATTTTACAAAAATATAATTTTATATGTCATAAAATATATAGTTACACATCATAAAAATTATAACTGCGTTATACTATGATGTTTTATTGACCGTGATTTTTTATTTTTAATTATTTTATTGTTCAAGTCCTTTTTTAAAATTATGTAGATAATGATTGTAAAGACAGAAATATAATAGGTAAGAGCTACCATAATGAATGTCATTAAAATTACATGTAAGTCCGTCAAGAACCCCCGTGCACCTAACGCGGTGGAGAGAGACCACCGGAACCCTCCAACAGCGGGTCCCTGTTGGTGCCGGGTCCAGGGGCTCAGGTCTTTGCCTTTTCGCCCACCCGACCTCGTTCCCGCTGCTCTGTGAAGGCCATTTATTCGGCGTCTCACTGACAGAGTTCCAGGCAATGAGCCTGGGGGGCAGGTGGCACCCAGCAGCTCGAGTGTCACCTGGAGTGAGTGACGGTGCCCGCCCAGGCGCTGCGCACTAGCACAGGTGTCGGGACAGGCGTCGGGGGGCCCGGTGTCCAGCTGCCTCCCTCCCGGAGGGTGTCCCCCAGAACGGAGCAACCAGGCCGCCCCCTGACCTCGCCTCGATCCGCCTGGTGGCTCTGCCCGTCCCTCCTTCCACCTGCACCAGCCAAGGACTCTGGGGGCAGCCTCTGTCCCCAGACCCTGGGAGCGCAGTCCAGCCAGAACCCCCCGGGCCCGCTCTCTCACCTGCGCGCTGGAGGAAGGCGTCCCAGCGAAACTCGGTGCTGGGCGAGGTCGCGATTCCTGGGCGGGAGGAGAGAGAGAAAGAGAAAGTTCAGGGTGCTGGGACGTGAGCAGCGGCTCGGTGTCATCATGAAAGGGCGCCCACACATGGTCCCTTGAGGCCACTTTGGTCCTTGGTGACAGATCAGGTCAGGAGCAGAGAACCCCGGACAGTTTCTGAGGGGGAGTGGGGTCCCCGGGCACGGGCTTCGGGGGTGCAGGCGCCTCGGGGCCCCCGGCCCTGCAGCCTGCTGAGCAGGGGGACCCCCAGGGGGTTCATCTGGCTGGAGACTGAGGTTCAAAGAGCGTCGGTGGTGTTGAAAACGGTCGGGACCTCGCGGTGTGGTTTCGGAGACTGCAGCCCCCCCCTCGAGAGCAAGCTCTGAAAGGGGCTGGTGAGTCCCCCCGGAAAACCAGGTCATAGCGCAGGGGACAGGCATAACTCGATTCTGTCACCGAGGGCCCGTGGGAATCCGGAATGAAACGCACATCTGTGCCCTCGGAGGCTGGCCCTGCTCAGCGAGGAAACCCGGTCGGCATCACCCGGATGCCTGAGTTCAGGGCATAAGGAGTGAAACTCCCCACGTCATGACACACGTCCTGACGGCCACCTGGCGCCTGCCTGTCTCTCGGACCCCGCCTGAGAATATTTCCGTGTTTCTTCAACTGTTTTCTGTAATAGTGTCCGTTTCTTATGACTGTAGCCTGTTGCACACGGATTGCTAAGCTATGCACTCCCCAACCCCAGTAAAAGCCATGTGGGGAGAAGGGCTGGGGGCGTTCCCCACCAGAGGGAGTCAGCACCCCTTTTCCCGCCAGAGCAACGAGATTGCAGCTGGGACGACTCTTTATTTCCATCTGTGGCGCCCCCCCCAGGCACCCCACTGGCCGAATTCCCCTCAGAAACCGTGTGGAGTGGGCGGGGGCCGTGTTCAAACCCTCGAGGAGCCGAGGCTTCCCCACCATCCAGCGTGTCCCTCTCGGTGGCTCGGGCCCCAGCGGAGGAGAGGGGACGCCACCCCCCTGCCCTGACCCTCACGCGCCTTCCTGTGCCCCGGGTCGGCACGTCCTCCTCACCTGAGGTCTCTGAGCAATGACAGCCATGTGGATGAGGGGCCTGGTGGCTCGGAGGCAGATGTCACCAAAGCCCCCCGATCACGAGGTGCCCCTGAGCTGGGCGTAAGAGGAACCTGAACCCACAACCTTGGCCTCGGCACCTGTGCTAACCTCAGGCTGGAATCGGTTCTGTGTTCCTCTCGGGAACGGCCCCTCCCCCACTGCTGCCAGATGGGCGGGGGTTCCCTGCCTGGGCAGGTGGCCCCAGGGGCCCGGGAAAGGGCGTTCGGGGGGGGGCGGTGGTACTTCCACTGGTTGGAATGTTGAGTGAGCTGCGTTTTAACCTATTATTTCATGGTTTTCCTCTGTTTATCTTATAGATTAATGTCGGGGAAATAATAAAAGTGTATCCATCCTATGAACCGTTTTCTAGGGGAACCTCCGGTATGGTATCCATCCCTCCACACACCTGTCAGCGTGTGTCTCTCAAACAGAGGGGCCGAGTTTTTTCAAATCCACTTAAAAATGCTCACCTTGAGTCTGGACGTAGATCTTGCCCTTGGCGTGCGGCTTTGGAGAAGAGGGGAGAAAGAAAAAGCAAGTAAACACTGAAGTCTCTTTGCCACAACTGCTTTTCCCATTAGAATGGACGAGAGTCACAAAACATTTCCGTGGAAAGCGCCCCAGAGCGCGGGCTGCACAGCCGCTCACAGACCAGCCGGTCTGCCTGCGAGAGCAGAGCGCCGCCCGCGCCCCAGCGGCGGTTCACTCGCCAAGAACGCGGCGTCGGGACGGTGAGGAGCGCCGGGAACGCGGCCCCGGGAGCTGGGCGTGACGCTGCGGTGTATGCGAGTCTCCCGTCGCCGCGTTCGCAGTGAAGTTACTGACGTTCCCGCCAGGGCGTGTCAGGGACGGAGCCCACCGTGTGCTGACGCCGAAGGCAGGCGTTTGGGGAACCAGGCTTTGGGGGTGCACATCCTTGAGTAGGAAGAGGACACCCCTCCTCTTTGGAGAAGGAAGAAGAGGGGATGGGGGGAGAGGGGGAAGAGACGGGGAGGGGAGGAGGAGGAGGGAGGGAGGGGGCGCAGTGTGTCGGAGACAAGAAGGCAGCCATGGGGGCCTGACCCGTCCTGGCGTGCAAGCGGACTCTCTTGGGGACCCTGGAGGGACGCCCCGAACACCTCAGTGGCATCCAGAAGGGCCGCACCTGCGGGACCGACCTAGACGTTGGTACCCAGACAGGGGCTCCCCATTCCTGCCGCCGCTGGCTGTCCTGGGGCCCTCACAGAACTGCCGGGAGGTGTGCGTGTCTGGAGGGAGGGGTCTGCCGCACGGGTGTGTGGGTGTCGGTGTGTCGGCGGGAGGGGAGGGGTCTCCATTTTCAGGGTCTGGGAGGAACCTTGCTCCTTCTGCCCCTTCCCGAGGCCGGAGGAGCCCAGGTCCCCTGGGCCTGACCCCTGCAGCCCCCGGGGCCTGCGGCCCGGGACGATGGACCGGGTGCCGGGTCGGGCCAGTCTGCACCGGCGAGCCGCCAGCCGGCAGCAACACGGCGGGTTCCCATCCTTCCATTAACGCCCGCTTCCCAGATCAAACTTTCTGCAGGCGCAAACCACAGCAACTATCACTCTTGAAATCTATGCGCAAGCTCATGCTTCGCACGTGGAAAAAGAATTAACTTTTACTTCGAAGTTGCAAGTGTGGATGACGGCTTCGCTGGCAGCACTTTCAGAGGCGCCCGAATCTCTGAACGGGGGCCCTGGCCCTGGAGAGGGGGGGCTCTCGGAACACACACCCGCCACGAAAACCAGTGACCCGGGGTCGGCACCGCTGGGGGCACACGGGTCTCTCCTCTTCTCCCCCTGCTCTGTGCCTGCGGAAAGCTGTTTTCCAGCAAGGAGAGAAAATAACGACCTTGTAAAAAGGAGTGGGCACAGCCTGGTCCCTGGCTCCGACAGCGGAACCGGACGAAGAGAGACTTTTGCAGAAAAGAAGGTGCCCGCGAAGAACGTGGGGAGGGGCCACAAGCCCGGCCCGGGCCCGGGCCCCTGCCACCCGCCGCGGAGCAGCCCGGAGGCAGGGGACTAAAGCCGGGGTGATCCTGGCAAAGCCCCGGGGAGCGGGAGGGAAGGGCTGGCCTGGTCCAGTGGCTCGGGAAATAGGAACGCCAGCCGGCCAGTTCCAAGATAAGTGAGATCAAAGCAAAGGAAAAACAACAACAAAAAAACCCCACTGTGAAAGCTGTGGCTCAACAGCTGAGAATCATTGCTGGTTTCACTCAAAGCTCCCCCGGCCCCGTCCGCCTCTGTGGCTCGGGCACTCGGGGGGGACGCCGTGGCTGGTGCCCGGCGTGGGAGCCCCCGGATCGCGGGTGCTGATGAGTTTTGCACCCCCTCGGGTTATTTGAGAACTTTCCCATCCCCGGGGACATCGCGTGGGGAAAAGCGCTGCAGAGAACATTTGCGGCTCCGTCAAGACGCCCCTGAGGAACAGCCCGTCTTAATGGAAGTTATTAAAAATGATTAGCTTCGCGGGCTCTGCGCCGGCCCCGGGGGTTCCCGCTCAGGTGCGCGCGGCGGGGAGGGGCCGGGCTGCAAACCCCCGAGAGTCTGGAGATGAAACCAGGAGACGCACGCTTTCAGGGTTCCATCCGCCGTGGTGGAAACTGTAACAAAAGGCAAGGTCCTGCCCAGGCGGTTTTCGGAGACAATCAGATACAAAGTGACGACGGACCACACAGGAAGAAGTGGTTAAGTGGTCCGCAGGAGAGGACCAGTTTGCTGGACACTCAGCCATGAGTGGGCGGGCAGCTCAGCCCCAGGAGGCCGGTGCTGGCCCCTGGGTTCAGCATCGGGGCTCGCCTGGGCCTCAGGCCAGGCAGGGGGCAGCCCGGGGAACCTGTCTTGCTCTCTCTGGCGTTCCCACTGCTGCGACAAAGTGGTTTTTCTGTAACAAGTGCCCAGGCAAGGGAGGTAAACCAGGCTGAGAAGGGGGTGACTCAGAGTTTCTGAATTTAAAAAAAGATCGCTGAAACATAACCCCTCCAGGGTGCGCGGCTCAGGGCCGACCCAGGCCAGGGGACCGAGGTGTCACTGTGGTCCTCAAGCCGTATCTCCTCCGGCTGGAGATTGTCTAAGACTAGTCCACAAGCAAACATCTGCAATATCAGGTCACGTCCTCTGATTGGCAGTTACGGGGGAAGCGTGAGGATGGTCTGGTTAAGTCTTCACAGGCCTGTGGGGTTCTGGACCCGATGGGGAGACCATTTAAATAGCTCCTGCGCAGCGAAGAGCTTTAATACACAACGGATTTGTTTCTTTCACGTTCTGCAGAAATATTTAAATGTTTACATGTTCCCGGGAGTGCCTGATGAATTCGGGGAGAGAACTGTAAATCTGGACGGGCCTGGAAGCGCCTGGGTTTGCACGGGGCGCGCCGGCTGCACCCTGCGTCCGGCAGGAAGTCCAAACTCGGTGCCGACGGCATTCGCGTTTCCACAGAGTCCGCCGTATCACAGTCAGGCAGGTGCAGCGAGTCCAATCCCCACGACTGACGAATGGAGCTTGTAATATCGCACGGCGGAGGGCTGCTGAGCGCCCGCCCGCGGCTGGACCTGCGTGGTGAGCGCTCCCCACGCGGCGGGCGCGCCCTGGGTGGGCAGGGCCCAGGGCGATGGCGCGCCCCACGGGGGCGGCGGGGGGGAGGCGTGCTGTCCTGTTGAGTGACCTGTGGCATCAGCGTCACTTCCGAGCTCATTGGGGTGGCACCGGCCCGAGACAGACTGGTGCAAGGGTGGCCTCCGAAATCGCGCAGTCAAAGCTCTCCCAGAGGGCTGGCCTCCCCCACTGCGTGCAGATTGAGCTCCCCACCCCTGGCACATCTCCGCCACCGTGGCTGAGCCTTCTTGGAACTGGGGGGCACCCCCCACTTGAATGCAGGGGCAGCCCTGCAAAGCAGCCGCCAGCCTCGTGGGGCCTCTGAGCATCTGACAGGGAGCTGGTCCGAGCAGGGCAGGGCCCCGAGGGTCAAGTGCACTCGGGTTAACTTACGGCCGAAGGACGCCAAGTCACTGACCAGGGCCGGCGCTCCCAGTCCTGCGTGTGTGGCCTTCGTGTTTTGATGGTGAGATGTTGGATCTCGTGGGTGAGAGTGAGGAACCTGGCCCCGGCCAGGGAGGGGTCCGGCAAAAAGCCCTTGGCTTCTGGGAAGGAATCGATGGGACGCCCGAGAGGCACGTCTTTGTTTAGGGCGGGGCCAGCCGTGCCAGGAAGCCCACCCCCGTGATCCTGGGTGGGGACTTCGGGTCCAGCAGGACGGGCGGATGCAGACTGCACTGCGGCGGGCGGGCACTGAACCAGCCAATCCGTCAAGCGTAGGTAATGCACTCCAGTAAGGGTTTGGGGCCACAGTCTTGGGGGAGCAATGCTCCAGGCTTATCGTTCCAGACCAATAACCGGAGGGCGGGACGCCTCTGTGTCCGTCGGGGAGAAGCCCCGGAAGCTCACCCCCGGGGGCCCCTCTCGGGGCTCGGTGCACTGGGCGCCCTTTCCCGGGACGCAGCCAAGAGCACAGTGAATCTCCAGTCCTGCGAGCTCTTCCGGCAGCTCTTGAAACTTGGGGGGTTCTGGGAACCGCCTGAGCTTGCAGTTGGCGTCCAAGTGAGGGCGGTCTTGGAGACAGAGCCCTTACACTTGGCAGTGAAAATAAAATGTACTGTTGGAACTGGTCTCCCTGGTTGCCACTCGCTTTTTAAAAAGGGGGCCGTGGAACGTGTCCAGGCACACCCACGGCCCACTGCTGCAGGCTGCCTCTCACGTCTCTCAGCCGCCCCAGTGCAGGGCGCGCGCCTGGGCTCACGAGTGTTCTCGCTTCAGCGAGGTTCGAGGAGACACCAGCTTCGGACCCGCCTTTGTGCCCTGAGCTCCCTCTCTCCGCATCAACGCCGCGTCACATACATATTCCGCCTTTTGAAGTCGAGAAAGCAATAAGGAGCCGACGCCACGGATCTTCCTCGCCTGAGATTATTGGAACCTGAATCCGGTTTGATAATAACGAGGCAGGACCAGCCAACACGCAGCCCGAACCACCCTGCTCCCCGAAATCCAGAATGCAAAATTGAAAACAGAAGCTGGTGGCTCGATAATGAAGAGCGGAACTTAATTACTCAGAAGCGGTGCCGCTGTTCAGAATACACAAATAAAAATCAGTGTCTCTACAAGAAAAAAACAACCCCATCTGAAATACCTACATAAGTAAGGCCAAATAATAAACCTATATATTATTCATGCATAGTTTTTATTGGCAAAAACTAATCAAATGAGGGTATTGAGCTGAACTTTATTCAAAAATCACCCGCCCCCCCCAAAAAAAGAACTGTATGAAAAAGCAGGCCCACACTCGAATTTAATAACTAACTCACACCGCTCTGAACTACAGAACGGACCCACCCTGTGTTTCATTGGGTTTTTATTCGGAGGGCTCTGACGTCACCCTCCGGGAGTACGCCGTCCATCTGGGCTGCTGTCTCGGTCCCCGCCAGCGGCCCGGTGGCTGGGAAGGGAGGGGCGTCTCTCTGCCCACAGGGACGGCTGCGGGGGGCCCGGGACGGTGCCTGTGGCCGAGCACACAGACGCGGCCGGCGAGGGGCCCGCTTCCGTCTGAGAGGCACGGCGACCCCGGGGCAGCATGCCGCCCCCCTCCGAGACTGCCCCTCCGGCGGTGGGGGTGGGGCGCTGTCGGTCCCCGCAGAGCGGCCTCTCCGGTCTGGGTCCCACCACGTCCCCGCCACGTCCCCACCCACGGCTGCAACCGGAGCGCGGTGCACGGAGACACGTACCCACTGCAGGCCCGCCGCTGCCCTCATGGACTCCGTGAACGCCACGGCGAACCTGGCGAGAGGAAGACAAGGGAGGGAGGGAGACGAGGTCAGGGCAGACCCAGGGAGCACGGCCGGGAGCGGCTCCGGGGGCGGGATGGGGGGGGTGTGGGGGACCGGGTTAGAAGCCCCACCGGGCAGGTGCCGTCCAGGCCCCTCACCCCCGGGCACGGGCCACCAGCGTGCATCTGGGCGCGCCCCCAGGAAACGGGCACATGCCAGAGAGAGGTTCTCAAGGCTCCAAGCGCCCCACCGTCCTGTGGCTGCTGCACGAGGTCAGGGGAGGCGCCAGAGGGCCAGGAACAGGGAGCGGGGGGGCTGGGACCTCTGAGTCTACGGGACCCTCCAAGGGCGGACGGCCCTGCCCAGTAGCTGGGCCAAAGGAAGCTCCTGGTGCGCATGCAAGGGTTCCTGGGTGCACATGCAGGGGTTACCCGTGTACACCCCGCAGACAGCCCCCCCACCACCACAGCAGAGTTCCATTCGTCAGCCTGGTGGTGAGGGAGATAGCTGGTCACCAGGAGGCCCACGGGGGGAGAGTTGGGGCCCAGGACCGTGAGTGGGCGGTCCTCCCAGCACTGGGACCCAGAGGGCACAGCCGCCCCAACCCCCCCACCCCGTCTTCCCCTCCTCCCGCCCTCCTGCCCCTCGGCCGCCAATCCAGATACGCCCCCCACCGACGGGGACACAAACAGTCTCCCCTCGGGGGCCGTGCGGCCGGGCGAGGAGGACAGACGCCAGTGGCTCGGGCACCTGAGCCCCACGCACGGGTGGTGCAGAACCAGGCCAGGACAGCGGGGTCGGTCTGCGAGGCCCTCCCAGGCCCCTGGACAGGGACGGGGAGGCAGGTACGCTGCGTTCGGGGACACAGGACAGAAAAGCGACGTGACGGTGATTCCCAGAGCAGGGCGGCTCCCTCCTGCCCACGAACCCCAACCGCTGGCCCCCCAGGGGCCGGCGTGTGTCTGACAGCAGCGCGGCGGGCGGCGCTGATGATAATAGTGTGTGTGGGGGGGGGGCTCGTTCCGCTCCGCGTCCCCAGGCAGAGTTACTTCCCGTCTGCAAGCCGGGCAGCGCCCAGGCTGCCCGGGCGGGCGCGAAGGCCGCACACTCCGAGAGGGTGGGAACCGCGCGGGGACACCCGTGAGGACAGACCGCCGTTGGAGGCGAGCCCGGCTGTGTCCACGCCGTTGTCCCGTGTCCCCCACGCGCACACGGAGTGCGCGCTCTATCTGAGGAAGGTGGGGTCGCCACCCGTGTGTGCAGGGCAGTGCGCACGCCTGCTCGGGGCCACAGGTGTGCCGGGCCGTGGCAGCACCTGCTGGGGGGGCGGTCCAGGGCCCGCCGACCTCGAGGTCCGAACGCCGCTGCTCACGCGGCCCGACCACGCGGCGTGTCCCGGGAGACTCGGCCAGCGTCACTTGCGGTCGAGGAGTCGCTCAACGGCCGCGACCGGGTTAGGAGGCCGCGGCACGGCCGAACAAAGGAACAAGCGCCGCGTGAAAGGAGACCGACAGGAGGGAGAGGAGGAGGTGGGCCCCCCCCCCCCGTCGGAGGGAGACCTCCGGGGCTCTCAGGCCTCCCCGTCTCCGCGTCCCACGAGCTCCGCCCGCACGGCCGCGTGTCCGCCCCGGAGACGCCCCGCCCACCTCCCCGCCCCCCTCCGCCGCCCCCGGGGGTACCTGGCCTCCTCGAGGACCCTCCCCATCACCCGGCGCTTCTCCGCCTGGTTCACGTCTTCGTTCAGGTCGGTTCCGCCGAAGACGATCCCGAACGGGATCCCGTGACCTGCGGGGCGGGGGGGCGGCGGAGGCGCTGTGGGCACGGCCCCGCCCACCGGCCCCAACGTGGGGGCTCGAGACGCCATTGGCCCCCGGGGCTCGGGGACGGAGACCGGCCGCCAGCTGGGCTGCACCCCACTCCCCTGCGGGGGGGGGGGAACGGGGGGGGCGGGTGTGACTGTGACGGGCAGGACGCTGCCCCCGTGGTCGGGACCATCGGAAGGCGGTCTGCTTCACGCGTGAGCACGCGAGCACGCGTGGCCCCGCCACCTACGGAGCCGACCCTTCCCAGGCAGCGGGGGGTCTGGGACCCTGGGGGTTCATGGCGGAAACAGGGCGCTTCAGACCGCGGCTCACGACGGCAGACACCGTCAAGTGGGGCGCCCCGCCCGAGGGACTCCCTCAAGGACTCCTGAAGGTCACCTAAACACTTCAAGCCCGGCGATGGCCTGCGAGGCGCCGGAGAGACCGGATCTGACTCGGGTCCCCGCTGCGGGGGTTCGTCCAACGAGCCACAGCTCCCGGGACTCAGCGCGAGCGACAAGAGGCCGACCGTCCGCTCCGTCATCTGCCGGCGAGCAGAGTGTCCCCGCCTGTCGCTCTGCTGGGGGGCGCCCCCCCGTGACGTCCGAGCTAAGGGCGCTGCAGGCGACGGTGCCTCGTGGGCGGGGGCAGCACGGCTGCCGGAAGCAGCAGAAGACAAGGGACAACTCAGACGCTGTTAACGAGTGTGTGTGTGTGTGTGTGTGTGTGAGTGTGCGCACACGCTGAGACTCGTGCAGCAAGAGGGACAAAACCTCCTGCGAAGGGAAGAGACCAAGTGCCTCTAGGCCAACACGGTGTGTGTGCAAACAGGACAGACACACACTGCTGGGGACACAGGACGTCGGTGCAAGGACACACACACGCACACACATGCACAGACTGGCTGCCAGGGCCTCTGGGGAAGGGACCTGGAGGACCAGAGGGCTGGGACCAGGGAGAGACGTAGTTTCTGCTCGCTGACACTTCACGCTGGTGGTGTTCCTTCCTGCGGACGAGTCGGACCTTCCCCTCGATCCACACGGACGGGCGTGGAGACCACCCAGCACGGGCGGCTCCGGTTCTGAGGGGGGGGTTAGACTAGGGGGGTGGGTGCAGAGACAAGGTGCACTGTTCCAGCACGTGGCCCAGAGGGACATCCATGGCGGGCACTGAGCTGGCCTCCAGCGATGCCCAGGCCCCGGTTCTCAGCGGCCGGGACTCCGTACAGGGAAGGGGAACCGAGGCGGACACAACAGAGGTCGCTAACCAGCTCCCCGGAAGGGACGCCCTCGGCATCACATTTGCACACTAGAATGGGCGCCTGAGAAGGATGCGGTCGCCTGATTCTCGGAGGAGGGAACCGCCGCGGTGCGGAAGCCGGGTAGCGGGGCGTTTGACGGCCTGGAGTTAGGTAAGCGACTTAATAAAGAATCTGAGAGTTCGGGCTGCTGGTTCCCGAAACACCCGCCTCGCGTCCCCTGGGGTGGCAGCCTCTGAGGACGGCCCTGCGGCCTAGGGGTCTGCACCCGGATGCTCGGGGGCCGCTCCTGGGCAGCGCGAACACCTTCCGAGCGAGTCCGCTCTCAGTAGTTACAGCTACGTGTTCTGGAAAATTCCCCCGGGAGGAAAAGCACAGCAGAAAGGTCACCGAGCTCCTCCCCCTGGGGACGCAGATAAGCAGGATGAGCCCTT